ACCGTAAAAATACTGTCATAGACGTTGGTTGAATACCTACGTCACGATTAACACCCAGGAAGAGCCCGATCGTGACATCGTAACATAAATATTCAACCAATATCTAATGACAGTATTTTTACAGTTACTCAATCTTGTTGTAGTTAATGTACTTTAGAATTATTATACAGTATATTTTCTTCTATCAATTGGATAGGCTCTTACTATTACTAATAGATATTAGATCTACTTAGTATGGGATAGTCCTATAGCAATACAATACTGATATTCTATAGCAACTTGATGATTATTTAATATTATGCAATAAAATGTAAATATTTTATTATAAGATTATTATTTATTATTTAAAAATCAATCAATATACAAATTTCATTAACAATAATAATGAATAATTTATTGATTAATTAGATTTTGTAGTGATCAATTGATATCTTTTTCAAGATTTTAATATTGATTTATTTATAATAAATATTTTTCACTAATAGATATTATATTAATGATAAATTATATAAGAATTATAAAAATAATAAAATATAAAATTTGTCTAATTGATTTATATATAAAAATTATAAAGAATATAGAGTTTATAATATTTTTAGAGTTTATAAGAATTATAGAAATTATAAAAATTATAAAATTTATGAAAATTTTCAATAATAATGATCATGAAATTAATTTCATTTGTTATATGATTATGTTACTAGTTTTATGTGCTATAATTTTTTTCATTTATTTTATGATCTATAACTTGCTTTATTTATTATATAATCATACAATTAGATTTTTCTTTATGATGTATATTACAAGTTTTTAATTGTGAAATTATGCTATTTACTTGTTTCTTAATTAATTATTAGTTTTCTTCATTTGAACTAACTATAATTTATTTATTTTTTCTAGGTGCATGTTATAATATTATTTTGCTTAATACGAAAAAGTATTCAAACTTAGAGTACATTATTTTTGAATTTTACATGAAGAAAATTTTTGCTGCTGACATTAACTAAAGATAACATCTCAATTGATTGCAATTTGTGATATCCAATCAAAGAATTGTAATTTAATTGTGATAACCAATTAGAGATTATGATCAAATTACAATTAATTATGATTTTATTTTTAGCATTGACTATAAAATTCTTGAATAAGTTCATAAGTTTCCTTTTTCAATTCAAAAATTGATTATTATTAAAGTCTATGTTGTTGAAAAGAGGATAAAAAACTGCAAAGTGATATTTGGTTTAATATTTCCTAATTATTATTATTTGTTTTTCTAATAGTACTAATTACTCTACCAACACATATTTGAGATATAAGAATATTGAGAATCAGTAAGAGTCATAATATCAGAAAAAAGCAAAACTGAAAGAGCAACTAAAGATCAATGACAGATTGTGAACAAGTTGATGAAAAGAACACGTGATTTGTATTGGAGGGTTGAGAAAAGAGAAGATCCTGAACAAATAGTTCTTTTTATTGAAAAATTAAAAGATGATTTGAATTCTATTCTTAACTAATACTTAAAAGTTTTTTAGTTACAACAACTAATATTTATACAATAATCATAATAATCTATTCCTTTATTTATAAAGGAGAACGACCTATAATATCAAATAACGTTTCCGGATTTCTTCCGAAGTGGGATCAGCCACATTATCCTGTGTCAGATCACATGACTCGCAACGCTTTGCGCACACAAAAACGGGGTGCAAAAATTTTTTCGTGATGACATAATAGAAAACAGCAAATCATTTTAATTATCAACACAAACGTGTTAACCTATTCCAGAACTTCTCGAAGAAAAGTGTCTTACACAGCCTATTCTTTTTTTCATAATTTTGCGTATGCACGTCTTACTTTTCAAGATTACAGAGTTCAATAACACAAAAAACCCAGCGTGTGAGTGTGTAAACAGATTGATCGTCTCAGAAAGACATCTGTTTGGGGCAATATTTTGAGTTTACATAGTTTCTCTCGAAAAGAAGAACTGCATAATGAGTCTGTCAACAACAGCTCTGCAAACTATGCAAAGTGTGGGAGCCAAGATATATGTTGGCAATTTGCCGGATAGAGCACAACCTGAAGAAATCAAAAAGTATTTCTCTAAAATTGGCAACGTTGTTAACATGGAGCTCAAGGGAAATTACGGATTTATTGTAAGTGTATTGGTTTGATGGTGGTGACAATCAATTCTGTGAAGTACATATACGAACAAGTCAAAGTTAAAGAGATCAATGGGTACTTATCATGATCATCACATAGTTCATCTACTCAGATTTCGATGCGTCCAAAGGGTTTCTTGTCTGTTTTGTGTTCTATCAACCAGTTCAATTATTTTCATTGAAATCCTTTGGGCGCATTAATTCATATAATCTCATAGAAGACTCGCTCCCTACTTTAATATTACTTTTTAATACTGACTTTGCTGCTGCTCATAAAAAATGAAAGGAATTTGAGGAGCGTCGGATGTGCGATGAGGCAATCACTCAACTTCATGGTTCCGAATTTCAAGGCTCACAATTACGTGTAGAATATGCATACGGCGAGACCAAGACAAGCGTCTATAAGTATAGGTCAACGGATATATGTTTCAAATGCGGTCAAGTTGGACATTGGGCACGTGAATGTACTAGGTAAGCACACCTCGCTCACGGTGTGTCCTGATCTTTAAGCTGACAGCTCTACTTCAACGGTTTAAGTCATCATTTGTTTGCATACTTGAAGTAGATACCTTATTATCATCCAATCATCTTGAGGCAAGCACAATTTAGAGGCTCAACAATTTAACTTTTTACATGCGTGATTCTTGTTCATATTGGAGTTACAGTTGTCTTGCTTTTTGCTTGCTATTGAGAATTTCGCTATCAGATTATTTATTTCTCATCTCTCTGATCATAGTGGTAGATGGAAAAAAGATCCTAAATGCTGATTATTTCTAATAATTGCCATTTAGTTCATTTACCAATGGGCGTGGATTAAATATTCGCAAAATCAATAATCGTTACGATGATCGTCGCATAACCGATACTTTCATAAGAGAACCTTACAGCCTAAGAGACGGACGAAACAAACACGATCGTGGTGATGAAAGATACCTACCGCCTCCACCTCTTGATCGTAACTATGATCGTCTTCCCTATGATCGGTATGCAAGAGAGCCTGAATTAGACTATAGAAGAGAATATCGTGGCACTTATGATAGGGGCTATGAAAGAGAGCGAGATAGACCTTACGATCGAACTTATACTGATCGTAATTATGAGCGTTATAATCGGGACCCATACGACCGTGTTTACTATCCTCCCTCAAGAGATGGTTATGAAAGAGAAGGCTATGAGCGTAGACCTTTACCTCCACCAGATGTTACTCCTTACCCTGCTCGAGGAAAAACTGGATCTCCGCTACCACCACGTCGTGCAAGTTATGAACGTCCAGGTATAAGGTAAATATTAAATTTCTAATTCAGAAAATTTTATAAATATTTCTGATGATATGCATGAATTTTAGAGAGGTGCCACTCCCACCATACCGTGGTCGTTCTCCCTCACCACCACCTCGTTTTACTGATAGTTTATTCGCGGCGCCTCCTCCATTGAGACCATTATCTCCTCGTGCAGGTTTATATAGGTAAGAATCGAACATTTCTTAAGATTTTTTTCAAATTAGAATATTATTAAATTAATACATATATAATAATCTAAAAAAGACGTCGCTCTATGAGTCCATTAAGAAGTGGTAGAGCCCCACTTCCGTATACTGGACGTCTGAGGTCACCCAGTCCCACAGGTAGACAGTTACCTCCAAGACGTGATGGTGGTACTGGTGGTCCTAGAACACCAACTCCTCCTCCTCCTCATTCTAGACGTTAAGCAATAGAGAGTAGATCATTCAATCTTGATTCATATAGACAATATTGGGCACTTATTGCTGGTTCTCTTCTCTATGGCATGGCTGCGTTATGCGATTTAGTCACTAGCATGTATTTGCATTTGCATATTAAAGCTCTGGTCTTTTTCAAGCGAGCATATTCATTGGCTGGAACTTACGAGTGCATCGAGCTGCTGCATTTTTTATTGGTATAATTCATATTCTTTTATTTCTATTATTTTGATCTTCGTCAATAATTTTGTGCTGGTTAAAATAAGCGTGATATCTGTATATTTCACGTGACATTTTCAATAAAGATGAAATTCACCAATCAGAATAAAAATTTCTTGTAAATCGATTTTTTTAAAACTTCAGGCCATAAATGAATTTTCTTTCATTGTTTCGCCGCCAGTGTACGAGCACTTTGAAATTTACTTGTACCTTTAGGCAATTTAACAAAAATATATCTACAAGTTCTTCACTTTCATCTGGACACAATAAATGGAGTAAAATAAGGCATGTTAAAGGAATAAAGGATAGCCAAAGAAGTGTACAGTTCGCTAAAATGACCAAAGAAATACAACTCGCAGTAAAAAGTATTTCTTTAACATGCAATTTATTTGTATTTTGTTTATTTTGTTGGAGTGATTTTTGATGTAAATTGTGTTGATGAGTTTAATTAATTAGCCTTAATATGATTTCGGATTTGTTAATTAGCGGGTGGTGCGGACCCTAATTTAAACATTCGATTAGTTGCTGCTCTCGGAGCTGCTAAAAAAGCAAACGTCCCCAAAGACAATATTGAGAATGCTATTAAAAGGGTATTTCTATACTACTTACTTTTGCTTTTACTGACATTATTTTAGTTAGTAAATGTTTGCTGAACAACTTGCTGACCAATTAAAAAGGCAACAGGTCAAAAAGATGAGAATGCGATCGAAAGTATTACATATGAAGGATATGGACCTAATGGAGTTGCATTCATAATGTAAGTAAGATTCGATTGATTCGTTAGTCCATGGATTTTTTAAAATCATTGGATCTAATGAAACTTATCCTTCATTTGCTGTAATTTGAGCTTAGAGAGACTTTGACAGACAACAGAAATAGAACGGTGAAGGATATTAAATCGATTTTCACAAAACATGGGTATGGAGTATATTTTCAAAGATCTATTTGCGTGAGTTCCAGAATGAAAGGGGTGTTTTTTAAGAATATGGAGGAAAGACGCGTGTTTTCATAACTATCACGAAAATAATTAATTTCGTTATGTTATATCAACTTGGTATGAAAAGTGGCTCAATGAGCACTGTCAATTGGATGTTTGAGAAAAAAGGTAGTTATTAAATTCGAGTTCTTATTTGTACAAGAACCAACTAAAATCAATACACCCTACGATTTTCAGGTCAGATTCAATTTTCAAAAGGCAATACGCAGGATTCACTTGATGCAATGATGGAAAATGCGATGGAAATCGATGGTGTTGAAGACATACAAGAATTAGATGATGGATTATTAGGGGTAAATATATGAACAAACTATTCATCTCTAGCTTTCTAATAATTATTTTATTTCATAACAGATCACGTGTCAAAACAACACCGTCAATTCTATATCGGAAACCTTGACAAAAAAGTACCAATACGCGGTTACTTCAATGCGATCCGGATATATACCAACGACGACTATTCCATTAGTTGAGGATGAAGAGCGTGATAAAATAATGGCCAAATTTGTAGATACTTTGAATGATCATGAGGATGTGGTTGAATTTTATAACAATGCTGTAATTAGTGAATAAGATGAAGAAAAGTTCGATTGCTCGAGATGACTTTTATTTGAATTGTTTAATCTTAATAAAATTATATCAAAATTAAATTCGATTATTGAGAAAAGGCCTCGTGAACATAAATCGTATGTCTGATATTCAATTAGTACAAAGTTTACATAAAGGATAAAAAACGTCATGATGATGACTGTTGTAGTGATGAGGATGCATTTGATCTACACGATAATCTCGCGTGTAACGGGTAAGGTCATCATATACACAACACTATAAAGATGGCCTGATTCTTCCAAAAATTTTTATTTAACATCATGTCACTAGCAAAGCAAAATTATTCAACCGCAGCCGAAGACCAAATAAATGCACAAATATTACAAGAACAAATAGCCGCGGCTAATTATGAGTCTATTGGTGCTTATTTCGCTCGCGATAATATTGGGCTGCCGGTGAATTTTTTTTGTTTTTATGAGTTTTGAAGGTCGTTTTTTGATTTCTTTTTAATACATATCATACACACAGGGTTTAGCGAAATTTTTTAGAAATCAGGCTGAAGAAGTGTGAAGACATTTTTTTACTATCTCGTGCAACCTTTGATTCTCGCATGGATGGGGGTTTTTTATTATAAGTGTCTAATTCCTATTTTACAATCAACTTTTTTTTGAAATCATTCTCTCTCGTGCGCGCTTCACAACGCAATGGATGAACAACAATTATCTTCTTTCAAAACATAAAATATAAATTTTTACACGACAGGAACGCCAGCACGCGCAAAAATTGATGCAGTACCAAGAATTGCGGGGAGGTCGTATCATATTGCATCCGATTCCAGCACCTCAGGTAGATTAAATATTGATATCTTTTTTTTCGAGGCTTTGTTCTCACATTATCATTATTTCTACGGTTAGATTGAATGGCAGTCGGCGAAAAATGCAGTTGGTATATTAATTAATAAATATAAAAATTATTTTTATTTTCATGGATGAACAAACAATTTTAATAGTAATTATAATAATACTTTTGAATAAAAAAGAGGCATCACTTGATCTAGAGAAAGACGTGAACAAGAGTCTACTTCACCTAAACTCTCTGGCTGAAAATAACGGTGACTCACAATTAGTTTCATACATTCGGTAATCAAATTTTTATTTGCGTAATTTTTTGTTGCTGCTCGGATATTACATTAAAGATATTCAAAAAAATAAAAATAAAAAGCACGGAATTTCTGTCGGAGCAAGTGAGATCGATCGAAGAATTTGCGAAAATGATCACTCATTTGAATCGTGTCGGTGGCGATGGTTTGGGATTGTACCTTTTCGATCAGAATTTGTTGGAAAATGGTAGAATTGGAGGTGGCCAGAGCGGTGTCTAATGTTTAGATCTTCCTTTTATGTATTATATGTTGAATGTCATATTACTTCAATACACACGAATTTAGAGAAGTATCCTAAACTGATGTTTATTAAGAAGCGCGATCATAAAAAATTAGAATATTGGATGATTTTGCGAGCGCAATTGACCTGCACACCCCTACAGTATATTACCGGAAATTTCAAAAATGAATCTGTCACTTTGGAACCCGATATCTCAACATCCAGTGATCCCATTCGAAC